AGACAACAGCCGGCCGCGGCCCGAGGATTTCGCAAGAAAACAAGGGGCAGTGTCGTCTACCATCGCAGTGCCGCACGCTGTATTTCTTTACTAGTATTTGCGGCAGATTTTAGTGGAAAAATACAAAGGGTTTCAGCTAGATTTTGGGGGGGGGGGCGAGGCCCCCCCAACTTACTGTGCCGCCGCCACTGTTCAAACCTTATAGTCTGGTAAGGCCAATCCTTCCCCCACTGTGGTAAGTCTTCACAAGTAAATAAAATAAATAATTAAAGATGAAATTTTAAAACTAGATAAGGTCATATCTGAAGATCACAAGCATTTGATAGCCAAGAAATAAAATAAAAAAAGAAAAATCATAAAGTCACGAAATGTGCATGTTTTCTATCTGTTCTAAAAAAATGTTTTTAGAAGAATTCAAGCAATGAAAATGTTTTCAGGTTCAAGGTATTTTTCTCCCAAAGGCCATGTAGCATACCAGCATTGCTGAGTTCTTCATTCATTATTCATGTCAAAAGTTTTCCCGGGAGGTAGCCCATTAAGGTTGGAGGGAATAATCTATTTATGATCACTGATGGGTTTTGTCCAGCAAAGATGAGGCTAGGTCATATCAATATATGTTCATTAGACTTTTTTTTCAGCCAGGAATGCAGGATTTTAACGGCCATTACGTTGGCTTCGGAAAGTTCCATGGAGTATCAATATATGTGTACGCAGCATGCACCACTTTTCATTTCCCGGTTTGGAATGCTGAAATTGAAGTTGTTTCGGGACACCAAATTTTCTTAACTTTCTGGCACATTTTGCATTGAAATGTGTGTTTTCTGGGGTGGGTATGACAAATAAGATAAGACACTATAATAGTCGTAGTCTACATATACTGGTACATTTCTTCAATTATTACCGTTACTTAGAGTACAATAGGTATCACACATTTCTAGCAAAGTCTGCTTCTTTACATCCTATATAAAATGTACCCAGAAAGGGTTTATTTGAATCCACAATTAGCATTACATAGTTGTTATTCTATACAACACTACATGTATATGACGCATAGGAAAATAACATACAGAATATAGATCTGTATCTGTATAGCCAGTATAACCACCCCTCGGCATAACACACCAACTAGATACCCTGACAATTAACAATAAACAAGTCATTAAAGATAATTTGACATGATGGGGTCCATATATACCAAATACAATATGATTATTGAATAAGAACTTACATCTTGATTCCATTCTATATACACAGGGAAATTTTGGGGGCATTTTTTTCTCGAGCTGTTCTCTTGCCCTTGAAGCTACCATATGTAAATGATTATCCACAGGTGTCTCTACACGTGAAAATGTATTGCCATAAGTGCTGCTGCAATGCTTTGATATGTACCGCAGGGAAGAGCATGACAGATTATCCCGTGTCAAAGGTGTTAATAGCTCCCAGGTGAAAAGAACGCTTCCACACAGATCCTTCAAATATGAAAATCAATTCTCCTGAAGGTAAAGAGATGATGATGTTTTGCCAGGATTGATTTTTTTGGCGGAAAACAAGATTTTGAAGTAAGCCTCTTATTTGGTATAAATCTTTTTTCTGCTGTTAGGGCCAGGGGCACCGTACAGGTGTTTCGTGACCTATGCCCTCCAGAACACTTATGTTGACCTGTCCGTGAATAAATAGCTTTCAGGCCCGCTTTACACACGCAGGCTAAAACCTGACGGTACAAAACTGTCTAAAGTGTACATAATCTTTTTCCTGTGTGTAAATCGACCTATTTTGACATACATCAAGAATGTACATGTACTTTCAGATCATACACCAGCCCTGAAGGTAACGTAAGATCTGAAATTACGTCAAAGCAGGCCCATTTACACACAGTTTTTGTTTGCTCGCGTGCGTACTCACTTTTTTGCTAGTTCTTAGTCTTTCATTAATTTTACCTTGAAATATAATAGCTCCACTGGAGATCTTTGTGTGTTAGTTGCCCTGGGCACATTTGTGTGTTTCAGAATGTATCGATCACAGAAAGTGGCAGGTTTTGGAAAGCACCCCCTCAGGGCTAATCAATAATGGATCATTCCAGACAGTAAGATCAGTTCCCCCATGCCTCAAAGTGGTGCAGCCCGACTGGCTTTGATGCAGATAAATGATTTATGAAGAAAAATTGGATTTTGTGTGAAGTCCTTGATAACATCACAGGGCTCAAAATACTTTTTTCTGCATACATGTACCTGCATTGGTATGTGTAACAATTTGAAAATTATGTATACCCACAAATTTTTACCTGCATCACTCAAGAATTACCTGCATCACAGAATTTATGAATTATGATCCCAATAAATACTGTTCAGTAACCATTGCCAGGCGGTAACAGTCAATAGAGCAAATGAAAATCCACATGTGCTTCCACATATATATATTCAGTATATATATATATACATGTAAACCTAGTACATGTAGGTTAGGTGTTATCAACCAAGGATTGAGGTGTTCAAAAATTCATTCTTTATCATCTCAGAGTAGAACTCGCTGTCACCAAGTATACAGTAGGGGCATTATCATTAGATAGCTTTAAACAATGTTTAGAGTTAGATGTTCAAGGGTTAAGTGTAACAAGTGTAACAGTGTAATGTAGCCAGCTGCCGCCACGCCGCATGCCTGTGAAGCTGGTGTGTTACCCCAAAGGGCGGTTATACCGGCTATACAGATACAAATACAGGTGTAGGTAGACATCGGAAATATCTGCACAGTCCCAATTATACCTGCACTAAACTTGCATATGCAGGTGATATTTCAATCCCTGACTTTCCTAACTGCTCTGCATCCATTTGGAGACCTGCTTCCTCCTTCTGTCAATCACCAGATTTCATCCCTCTAGGTATGTGTGACCGGGTCAACTAACCATACAGCATAATGAATCCAATTATAGACACCAATAGAAACATCAATCAAGAGTTTGAATACCAATTGGTAGAGGGAAAAATTAGATTTTTTGTCTTCATTTTGCACTGACAACATTTTCAAAGACTATTGCAATACCGGGTATTTTCCATTCAGTTGTCCGTCTTACTTATGGCATTATGTCTTGTATAGTAAATGATGAAATAAAGACATAGTGATACATTCATCATATGATGGGGGAGGGGGGCATGCACGGGTTCAATGGGTGGTCCCATCTGTGGGAATAATAAGTCAGTCTGATATTGGCAGGTAGATATGGGTTTACCATCAGTGATTCACAGCACAGCCTGCATTCTAATCACCTTTCCTACGTATCCGATAAGTTCAAATCTGTTTTGTGGGATGTCACGCTAGTAGGAAGAATTTATTTTCACCCTGAAAGGAGCCCATATGTAGGTATTGGTAGCCACTTTGATTTGTTGGTTCTGTTGTTTTTTTAGAAGAAATATGAAGTGATAGGGTGAAGAAACGAATAAAAACAGGCCTAGGCATCCTATGATAGCTCTAAAAGTGATGATTCTATGTTCCCTAACATCAGAAGAGTATATTTTTTGTACATCTTTGCTCATTGAATACTGCCTAGTGCCTACCATATCACACTTAACTGTTTTCAGGAACTTTTGTATTTTCTTTGTCCTTGGTTTCATGCTGTCTTTAACACCAGGGGTAAATTTAGTGGCAAGTTTAGTAAATGTATTCTGTTCAGCACCAAGGACAGGGACATGAATTCAGCACCAGGGACAGTGCCGGATACTGATTTGGGTAATGGACATATGGAAAGAGAAACTGGGTAGATTCAACTTCCATAAGACCAGCGTGGCAGAAGCTGACTACATTACACCAAACAACCTATCCTTCAGCCTGGTGTCAAAACCTATTTTAGCTCGCACTGTATACATCACTCTAATATTGCTTGTTATGTGTACATGTGGCGCTATAGAATAAGTGTGCAACTTAAATGTAATGCCACATTGTCGTGTTTTCTGTCTTATCTTAAGAAAAGAAAGATATCCCTCAAGAAAATTGAATGTGAATTTGGAAATCATTCCTCTTGAGACAGCGTAAACATCCATTCCCACAACCATGCAAAAAGTAGATACGCTCAGTCAACCAGCATGGCTGGAGGGTTACCAAAGATGTTCTGGGCAGATAGGGAGCTCCATTACACTTATCTCGGGCTCCCAAATGCCAATCTTCAGAGCTTTATCAGAGCCTCATCCCAGGGTGGCGATTTTCCTTCATCCCTTGCTAAGCCCATAGATACCCATCTATTTCTTCAGGGCAGACTGTTGTGGGGTTGATGCGGCTATTTGCAGTAATTGTTAAGTCTTTGATTCCAACGGAAATTGGAACATGCCGTAGTAGTCTGCAGTACATGTAGTAATAATCTGGAGCTAGCCATAGGCATTCTGTCTGTTTTGTTAGGTCTCTTCTCCTGAGAGGGTAGCTTATAGGTTAATACATTAAATTATTACACAAAAATGGTAATGGAAAGTGTATTGTCCATCCTCTATCTTACCAGCACATCAGTAGAATGTACTGTGCCTGCACAAAACCCAGATTTTCACAATTTTCTCTGGATGTTTGGTCAACGTTGCACCAGAATTTTGCCCATTGCAGACGATATCTTTTCCAACACATTATTTGAAAACTATAGATGGGATGTCATCCTTCAATACGCAAATATGACCTTAAAACATTCTGCCAAAGTGCTATGCTCAATACATTTCAGGTTAACAAATACCTTTCTAACTTAACATGTCGTACGATTCTACAATATTTTTGAACATGGACAGAAGGAAATCGCACCAGTCTAGTCCAATGGTTCTGTTGCCTATCTTTGAAAATGACATATCTTTATTTACTTCATGTTCACCACAAAACAAGGCTCATGGGAGCCACTCAAATGTTTTGGGTTACTGTACAGACAGTGAGGACAGATGTTTGTTGACATTAGACTTGAACAATGGGAAACAATCACGTGGTAGCTTGTTCCATAGTGATGTTGTTCTAGGAAATAAGCTTCTCTCGTTGTTTTCTAGGATGTGGAGGAGCTGCATTTTACGTACTTCGGAGTGTTTGACGGACACGCGGGGACCGGAGCAGCCATCATGGCATCACGCACACTTCATTACCATATTAGGTGGGTGACCTTTGTTCAGAGTTGCACTAAAGGGTAATAACTACATGCACTATATTTATGACTGTACATTATCAGTTTTGACATACAATGTGGTTTAATACCTTTGCAGCATCTTTGTAGGTCTGTTGATGTAAAACATATTATATTATATACTTGTTTATTTGCTTATGTTTATTTGTTTATTTGAATTTAACACAAGTACAAGTATACAAATTACAAGTGGAAGGGAGGACAAAACAGGTGCATTGACACCTTTACAAGTTGTCCTCCCAAAAACCTATGTACATTGCAGCATCATACAAAATGATGAATAGATAATAAAACAATCTATTAACTTTCCAAATAATCTATTCTTCGACATGCCATATAATCAGAACAGAATTTCATGTCTCATGTTAGAATAAATATTTTACAGAATTAGACTAGACATCATCACTGGTGGAACTGAACATGTCTTCATCAAATTGTCACTTAATCTTGTTGTAACCGTATTTGGCTATCCCATGGGGCTAACACTTGTATTTAATGGGCTTTTGATATATGCAGCTAGTGCTGCTAGGATATCATCTGGTGTACTTGGGAAGCTAGAAAATTCGTTTAACCTTGTCGCGTAAGAGGGTCTGTGAGGCATAATTGGCCATTTTGTAGCCAATCACTTTAATTCAATGCAAAGCGTTGTCAGGGGATTCTTCATGAAGCATACTTGGTCAGTTTTATTCCATGTAGCACATTGTTTCATTAATGAATTTGGGATAACAATCTTGTCATGTGCTGTTGAAAGATTCTTCACATTGAGTAGTTTAACACAAGATTACCAAAAAAATCATAACGGGGTGTCCAAGATCCTGATCAAAGACCATTTTTTAAAGACATGCACCCTTTGATTTACAACTAAAAGATCATACCGAAGAAGTTGCTTCTAAAGTCTTAATTAAGCATTGCCAGCTGAATTTACTGTTGGCTCTCCAAAATGTACCATTTAGCATTGCCAGGATCCCCCCCAGGCCCTATTCAAAGTGGTACCAAGGAGGTTTAAAGAAGATATGATCTATTAGGTAACAGAGAACCTTTCCACAAAACATCAGATGTGTAGGTTTAAGTAGTAATGGCTAGAAGCACTAGTCGAAAGTTATCTGCTCAGTCCCAAAATAATCTGCTTGCTGCTTGTGACAAAACATGTGGTCTCTTTTACTGATGACTTACTTACTTGACTTATGTCGAGTCCTGGTGTCCCTGGCCTCGAGACAAAATGGCTGACCAACACTCCCTATCTTCCATCACTTGACCCAAGTAGTCCACCTCCAGGCCAGTGTCTCTCCTTAGGCAGTCTATGTAGGTTGCAGCCGGTCTGCCGGCCTTCCTCCTCCCATGCTTGGGAGTCCACAGTACCAGCTCGGCCACAATCTCCTCTCTGCTCCTATGACAGTGTCCTGCAAACCTAAGCCTTCTTGATCTAATTTTGCTAGAGAGTCTTGGTAGGTCGGCGTAATATTCTAACAAAAAATGTGGTTTGTTTTATTGTTATATATACTAACAAAAAATGTGGTGTGTTTTACCAGGGACAAAATGACAGACGTCAGCGAGCTTCTCCTGCCCGTCACGTATGAAGGGATGGAGCAGAACCACCCTGGAGCAGGCTCCAAAAATGGGTCCGGCTCCGGCAAACCTTCCAGTAGAGTCATCACTAAAGAACACCTCATCATAGGAGCGCTGGAGAGATCCTTCTGTGAAATGGTATGGGAATACTTAGTTTCTATGTGGCACAAACATTGCGAAACACTCTCACTCGCTCGCTCACTCACTCACTCACTCACACTCACTCACTCACTCACTCACTCACTCTCACTCACTCACTCACTCACTCACTCACTCACTCACTCACTCACTCTCACTCACTCACTCACTCACTCACTTACACCAAGCTCAGTTTAATGACATCTCTTTGCATATTTTTATACGCCAATTTTTGTCAGTCAAAGATGACTGATTGGGTAAAATTTTTGTCTGCCAGGAACGGCAAACTTTCGTCGAATGATGGAAAGACAGATACTGGCAATGGCTAGAAGTAGAATACTTAGCAGTACAACAGGATGGTGTATGGCCTTGTTAGTGTTACCTGTGTATTCCCTCGGCTCCAATGACTGTTTCCCATCTCTTCCTATCTTTCATTTCTACCATTTCTTCTGTAAAGCTTTGTGTCGTCCATCAATTGGTTAATGTAGTTTCTTGTTGGACGGCCTCAACTTCTGTTTCCATGTGTGGGTTCCCACAATAGTAGCTGATGTATTATTTTGTCCTTACTTCTGTATCATTGCTAAACAAATCTTGGTTTATATCTGGTCTTCAGATAAATAATTCTGATTTACACACCATGCATATGCTGGTACTGCATGTATACAGAAAGTGTGGAACAGAGCAGAAAGGAATGAGAAGGAGCTCAGAACATCAACAGAAATTCAGCTTGACTTCTGTGTATTTTATTGTACTTTACTCCATTCCCTTTGCTTGCTATATTGGACACCTACTGATTTAATATTTATTTTTGCTCCATTTCTCTCCTTTTGCTCCATTTTGCTCCCTTTTGCTCCAGTTGGAGAGTGTTCTGAACTGTGACAGGAGCTTTAGTCATGTAAAGAAACAGATCAACAGTATATAAATGTTCCACATTTATTCAGTATGCTACCATTCCAACACCTTCATAAATGTCCCCATTCCTTATGTCTCCAGGATAGCCAGATAGAAAGAGAAAGATTGACGTTCAGAATAACAGGCGGCTGCACGGCCCTGGTGGCTGTGTTTGTACTGGGGAAACTCTTCTTAGTCAACGCTGGAGACTCAAGGTGAGACTATAGCTTCCAAGGCATCATGATGTTACACCTGGTAAAAAGCAAGCATACAAAAACTTTTAGACCCTATTTACCTTGCAGTACAAAAACATGCTAGCGAACGAAAACTGCATAAATCAACTTTTTTCCTGTGTGTAAATGAGCCTGCTTCGACGTATGTGAAGAACATAGGTTCAAATCGTATGTTGCCTTGATATGAGGACTGGTGTACAACTATGTAGTTGACCTCGAGAACATAATAATTATGTTGAGATCATATATGTTCTCAACATTATATTATGTTCTTGAGGTACATCAAAGCAGGCTGATTTACACACAGGAAAATTTTGACGTATGCAGTTTTTGTAAGCTCCAAGTGTAATGCGATTCTAAAAGTTACAATTTATAGTAAGTATAAATTCTACTAAAGCTAGATAGAAGGAGCATGGAAGCCAAGAAAATACCCTTGTGTCTAGTATGTCCTTGCTTTGTTTATCTTAACTTAAGCTGTAGAGTTTAAACTTTGTTCCAACACAAGAAAAGAACACACCATAAATTTTCAGTCGATCTTGTCAACCTTCATCAGATGTATGATCCACTCTACAACTATGGATTCTACCAAGTTGAAGACAGATACTGGGGGTGAGCTTTCATTTGAATACATGTGTGTATTACCTTACCTTTGTTTATCTAAAACTTACAATATCCGTTGTGTCTTGTGTTCTCCAGAGCAGTTCTATGTAGGAATGGTGAGGCCATCCCAATGTCTAGAGACTTCACTCCAGAATCAGAGAGGCAAAGGCTACAGTACTTGGTAAGTGCCATGCTTTTTTTAACACGACTTGGTGTTAATAGCAAAACATCCGTCTAAGTTGAAGTGATAATCTTATTTTTACCTCCATGAAAAATGGAGGTATTGTTTTTGGCGTGTCTGTCTGTCTGTCTGTGTGTGTGTGTGTGTGTGTGTCTGTCTGTCTGTGTGTGTTTCCGCAACTTTGTGGTCAGCATAACTTCAGAATGCCTGTATGGATTGTGATGACATTTGGTATGTTAGTAAGTCTTAGGAAGACGAAGGTCAAGGTCAAATATGGGCCTCCTGGTGGATGACCTTGGTACTGCAGCAGAACTTTTGTTATCGTTTTTGTATCTTTTGTCCTGAACATGCTATGGTCTTGACTTTTTGGTGACAGATAGCTTTTCCTGTCAGAAATAAGTGGTGTGGGTTTGGTCCCCCTACCAGCTTGTTCTGGAACTGCAGGGGACTTTCCAGATAGGAACAACATATTTTCATCATTTTTGGTACGTAGGTAGCTGAGAGAGAGATGTACACGATTAAATGCAAATTATGCAAATGAGGACCTAATTTGCATAATTAATGAGGAAATTCTATAATTACATTATGGTCTCGGACCGGAGTTTTTTTCACGATTTTGGATCCGGCGGACACCCTCAGACCGAAGGGCTATAACTCCGCCAAAAAAAGTACGCCGGGAAATCTCATTACATCAGTCAACGAAGGTTTCCAGCTGGCTTCCGATACAATTTTGGTTATTGTCCGTCGACTCTATAATTTGGGTAGAAACTGTAGTTAAACGTAAATTTTGGATACAAAAAATGTAGTTTTTTGCAGTTTTTTCAACGGACCTGCTTGGAAAAAACGAATTTTCCCAGGCTAACGGTTTATATGCTGAAATAGCTTACTACTTTCTGTTTCTGAAAAACAGAAAAAAAATATAGGTTGTTGTGATAAGTTTTTCGCAAAATCCGGTGACGCGAACCCCTAGAAATTCCAAATAGAACGCAGCTATTTGGGTCATCAGGCGACAAACCACATCACCCTTGCTCGCGGACTAATACCAAAAACGCTTCGCTGGCCGTCCAACTTCACCGCGCCAAAAAACACTACAATCCCAAGGCTTTTTGATCAATTCAAAACCTAGTTGAAAATCTACAGCGATCGCCGAGCTATGGGGAGCCAAACCTAGCGTGACAACCTCGCAGATCCGGCGATTTACTGCGCACTATTTGGAACCCTGGTCAGAATTAAACTCCGACCCGGAACCTTATAGTACTTTCATACATGTAATATATGTAATCTATGACAGATAGACGTCAACAGATATCAATTATGCAAATGATGACCTAATTTGCATAATGTTTGCGAAAATTATATGATTTCTTAATGGTGAATGATGGCAATTCTGTACCTTGTGACATGTAGGTTACTTAAATGTTAACAACACTATGCATATATTATGTTAATATAGAGGCAATTTGCATAATTTATAAGGAAGTTTAAATGAGGATGTTTAAGTGAAATATTGCCATAGGATAGGACTTTGACACGCAAAATATTGTAAGTTGAGTTTAGAACACCATAAATTAAACTACATTATATCAATTGCCACCCTATTTCCATATTCAATGAAACAAAACATTTACATAAACTACATATTTCATGGAGGTATGAAATCTCGGAATTCTTGTTTCTCCATGCAACTGACTAATTTGCATCATCCTTGTCCTGACTTGTCCAACTAGTTTTCATGCAATGGTAATTTTATCCATGAGTGGGTGCTTTTGAGGGGATCGTATGGAGGATGCACTTTCTT